TTTACTGGATATCATCTCCTTGTTGTTCTGTGGTCACCTCATACTTTATAGATCATACTGAAATCATCACTTCATCTACAAATCTCTTTTTGTCTTCCCTGTCTTGTCTGATTGCAATGGCATTCACCATCAGTGTCAACATCACTCTCCTCCTCTTGTTCAACCCTATATCAAACAGCTTCAAGTGCTAAGAATTGGAATTTAAAAAACCTATCTCTAGGAGAGATATTGCCATTGTTCAGGCCTTACCTTTGCACCCTAGGATAGTTTTTGAGCAAACTTTTATATGATTTTCTTACCATTATTCTCACTCTTTTCTGTTCTCCATGGAGCATAAAAATTATTGCACTTGTTACTCTTTACTGTAACATTCAAACTCCTAAAACAAGTAAAAGAACCTCTCGCAAGACAATCAAAACCTTTTTCAATAAGTTCATTGAATTTTTCATACCACATTCTTTTCTCTAACAGAACCAAACTTACTATTATTATTTTTTTAATTCAGTTATTTTTCTCTGTACTAATACTATTTCTATTTTTTTTTTTTTGGAGACAGAGTCTCACTTTGCCACTCTTGATAGAGTGCTGTGGTGTTATAGCTCTTAACAACTTCAAATTCTTCGTGCTCAAGCAATTCTCTTCTTTCAGCTTCCTGAGTAGCTGTGACTACAGGCACCTGCCACAGTACCTGGCTATTTTTAGAGATGAGGTCTGGCTCAGGCTCAGATTGGTCTCAAACCTGTGAGCTAAGGCCACATGCCTTGGCCTCCCTGAGTGCTAGGATTATAGGTGTGAGCCACCGCACTCAGCCTTTAAAATTATTTCTTAAACGGCTCAGCGCCTGTGGCTCAAGCAGCTAAGGCGCCAGCCACATACACCTAAGGTGGTGGGTTCAAATCCCCAGCCTGGGCCCGCCAAACAACAATGACGGCTGCAACCAAAAAATGGCCAGGCGTTGTGGCGGGCACCTGTAGTCCCAGCTACTTGGGAGGCAGAGGCAGGAGACTCGCTTGAGCCCAGGAGTTGGAGGTTGCTCTGAGCTGTAAAGCCATGGCACTCTACCCAGGGGGATAGCCTGAAGAAAAAAAAAAAAAAAAAAAAAAATCTTAAACACACGATAGTTGATTATAATTCTATAATATTCTTTAAAAAGCTATTAACTTCATTAGTAGTTTCTTCCATTTCTACTCCACCTGGGAAATACTTCATACCATTAATGTTTACAATCCTAAATTATCTCCTTATTAAATTCTTCCACAAATTTCTCACTTCTAGTTTTAATTCAATTCTGTAGAGCATTGCTCATAGTTCAAATATAAAATACTCTTGGTGTCACCTGGCATTGCATTTTATGTTTACAATCTTGCATGGGAAAGAAATTGTTTTATTCATCTGTTTATCACCAGGAATTGGTTCAATATTAACAAATTCAAAATTATGTTTTCTGAGGATTAAAATGAGCTGGTATAAATACCAGTACATGACATTCTGCCTATTTCATACTGATACTCAGCAAATATACTTCCTCTTCTGCCTTCCTTCCCTTCCTTCATCCTTGCTTTCCCTCTCTACCTTCCTCTCTCCTATCCTAATACCCTCAATGCTTGTTTTCCTCCCCTCATCTTCTTTCATTCCTTCATTTCTTCCTCCTTCCCTTCCTTTCATTTTTTCCTTCTCTAACAGAAAGTAAAATTTTTTAGAGAGTCATATCTTATTCGTCTCATTTTCTCAGGAACTTAGTGCTATTGGTGATCCATAACAAATACTCAATGGATGTTGTTGGATTCATATCTGAATTTTCTGGGATGAGGCCCTTTAACTTAGTGATCATGTATGTAAATCAGATAAAGGTATTTAAGAGTATTCCGTATTTGGAAAAAGAGATACCATGATAATTTAAAAGAACAGTATACAATATATGTTTCTGTTAATTAATGTGTTGATTAAATTTAAGAGCAATAGAGTCATTTACTCAGCATAAACATTTTACATTTGGAAAAGCAGAAATACTTTAGAGACGTTCCATTGCTTTATCAGCCTGAGAGATAAACAATTTACTCATCTGCCTTCTGGCGCTATTTTTCTTGGAGGTTGGTGAATAAAAGTTGCTGCATTTCAGTTATTTTGGAAGCCTGTGACTTAGTTTAACTTATGAGCATGGACAGTGAAGTGGGAAGAGCATTTCCAGTAATAAGTCTAACAAGCTATCAGAGGACCAAAAACAGACTAACAGTTTGAGGTTCCAGTGAAAAGAAATTAAATCTTAAAAGTGTCAGGGCAAGACAGGCCTCTAACTGAAGATTTAATTAGCTCAGTAGTAGAGATTGTAAGGGAGTTGGACTCCTAGGCAGGGTTGGAGGAAAGGAAGACAAAAACAAAACTTCTAAATGGGAATGGGTAACAGAGCAAAGTCTCAATTCTACTGAGAGTACAGCTTCATCAGGGTTTTTATGAACACAATTTTGCCCTAGAATATGAAATTAAGTCAACAAGTAAGGCCTGTTCCCACCTTCCCTAAACCTCAGGGATGCCTGCATTTTACTCCAGGGACCTCCACTAGCTACTGTATTATAATTGTTTTTGTTGTTCTTTCCTTTGTATTAGAAGGCATGTTTCTAAAAGATTAACACCAGTTCCTGTCTTTTCTTACCTAGTGTCACCTCCTTCAAACCATGCATTACCCCCATAAATACTTAAAGTAAAAGGAATGTTTTTTAAAAGGGAGGTAGGAAGACACGAGAAATGGGAGAATTAACATGCCAGGGACTCTGTCAAGTTTCCAGTTTCTTTGGCATGGTTCATGTACCTTGTAGAAATGTTTTGCAGTCAAATTTATGGGAAAGCCCTTTTGGGTTTTCTCTCTCTCTCTTGCCTCACTAAGAAAATCGTACTAAATGTTGAACACAGATCAACTTTTAAAATTTATTTTATTTATGTATTTTTATTTCAGGTAAATGTGAGGATACACACAAGTAGGTTGCAATATTTGCATTTGTTAGATAAAATCCCTCCTGTAGTTGTGTACCCCACCGAAAGGTGTGCCATCTACCCTTATAGTGAGCAACATTTTTTTAATGTTGAATTCTGTATTACGATAGCCTAATAGAATAATTTAACAGTCATGGTTATCCGTAAAATAAGCCAACATTGAAATAGCTGTTTGCATATGTGTTTTGGCAACATTAGTTATACCACTTTTCTCAGAAGCCTGGAAAATTTACCTTTTGAGAATTGGTATGGGAACAGCTATTGGAGAAGTATTTTTCTTCCAAGTGCTAATTACTGTGTAGCAATGCTTTTGATACGATGGTCAGCCCTGTGCATGAGGTGCTAAAATAAATGAATGAACTCCTAAGTGTTGCACAATGACTTCTTTTATTCTTCTCTTTCTTCCCTTCCAAGCTGTGCTACTGATTCCAAACACAGAGCAGCAGTCCAGTGAACTTAAGCAGGAAGTTGTATATAAAGTGACACCCCTTAGAGAAGTAATAAGAGAAGTGATCTAAATATGACCTGACCTTATTAAATATGTTGCTGGGCCTCATGATACTTGTCCCAAAAAGTAATTGATCTCCCATTGTGTGTGATTATAAAAGCAGCAACATTCAGAGAGAGGCAGAGAAGAAGACAGGAAGGATCAGTGGAGTTGAGGCAGTTGGAGTCTAATGAATGAGAGAGCAAAGGAATTACTTACCTCCATGTCTGTAGTGTTCAGGCATTGGGATAAGATGATGCCTACCATCATGATGAGCATCTTTTTGCTTCATTTTGCTGCTGTGGCTTCCGAACCGTAAGGAAATATTACATGTTCTGCTTAGACTAAAATGCTAGCAAACTGACCTTATTAAGTATGTTTCATGTTAAAACTTGATATTTTACCATGTCAGCTTCTGAGAGCAATTGCTTCTTTTTCCTGTAAATTTTAAGCAAGTAGGAAAGGAACTGACGTCTTTTCCCTATTCCTCTCTGAATACCCAAGTGATTGTAGTACTCTCTGTGAAAAATGTGTACATTTCAGGAAATTGCTTTTTGGGGGATGCTCTTCATTTCTCCTACATTTGCTTAGAGTCTTGGTTACTTTCTTTGCATAGGCAATACATCCTATGGGTTTCCTCTGTGATGCAGAGTTATTCTACAGAAAAAGCTTGTCTCCACCTCTTAAACCTTAATGAATCGGTAGCCTTGAGTGTTGTCTTAGAATATGATGGATCCAATACCATTATTTTTGACCAGTCTGTGGAAGAGGATAACTTCTATGCTTGTGCAAATTTCAAGGTGAGGCACCAAATTTGACATTTCAGAACTTCTGGTGAAAAGGTTAAATTATTTTTTTTAAAAAAACTATTTTTAGAGGGTTAAAAAATCTTATTTTAGATTAGGATTTCTAATTTTACACAGGATTTACTATCCAAAAAGCAGTAATTATCAGTAAGATTGTAGAAGTCGGGGAGGAAATTCAGAGGATTCCTGAGAGGTAAGAAATAAAAGGAAAATTTACTCCTGCAACAAAACATGTTGCAGGGAGAGATAATGAGACAGTTAGTGCTTTTTAGATAGTAAAACGATCCTATAGTATGGGGAAAGAGAATCTAGATAAAGGAAAGAAGGGGGTTGGGGCTCAGGAAAGCAAACAAAAATAAAAGACAAGAAGATGCAAAAATTAAGTTTATTAGAAAGTATCCTCATGGTAAATAAGGGAATTGCATTGGTAACAAATGACCATTAAGTCTCTCACTAGGAAATAATGGGTTTGCAAGTCTCTCTTACCCTGAAAAGCCAAATTAAGATACTGTTCATCCTCTCAACATCTAAAAATAATTTTCCTGGTCTCTGCCCTTCCACATAACTAGGTCTCTCAGAAGTCCTCTGAACAGCTGGCTTTTGTGACCTTGTTGGCTAAGGGAGACACTCTTAAAATATCAGAAAGGAGAGCTGTATCAGTCACTGCAGAGGAGGAGATAACTTTTATTCAGGCAGATAAACCCATCTATAAATCTGGAGAGAAGGGTAAGTCAGTGTTTATGTTTCCTTTATACCACTGACTTGAGAAATGCATTCTCCAAATCAAGAACGTTCAAGTACATGGATTTTAGTATTAAATTCATCTTTAATATCCTGGGATTGTGAAGTTGTAAAATTTGTATTGGTTTTCCGGATTATGAAATAGAACCCTCCAACTCTAGTAATTGAATGCTTTGCTTCATAAAATTTTGCACACCACTTTCACTGTTTACAAATTCTAGTGACAGGCCTATAGGCGTAATGCCTATACAACAAACATGGGTTATGGAGAATAATTGCTTGGTTTGAATTGCTGCTCCATAATTTATCAAGTGGGCAAGCTAATTAACTCTCTTTTTATGATCAATTATTTTATCTGTAAAATGGAGATAAAAGTGTCTCACTTACAGAAATATTATGAAAATAAATTAAGATACTCAAGGTAAAACCATGCCTAATATGCAGTAATGACCCCATAAAAGATACTTACTAGTATCATTATTATTCATACTACTGGAAGCAATCATAAACATGGCAACCTCCATACAGCCC